TGGAAAAAAAAAAATCACAGAATGGTTTGGATTGCAAGAGACCTTAAAGATCATCTAGTTCCAACCCTTCTGCAATGGGCAGGGACACCTTCCACAGCAGACCAGATTGCTCAAAGTCCCATCCAATCTGGCCTCAAGCACTTCCATCTATTCCAGTGCCACACCACCCTCATAGTAAAGAATTTCTTCCCAATCTCCAAAACCAAACCCATCCTATCCTAGTTTAAACTATTACCACTTATGCACCTTTGTGACAAGTCCCTCTCCATCTTTCTTTTAGGCCCCTTTTAGGTGCTGGAAGGTCTCCTTGGAGCCTTCCCTTCTTCAGGCTGGACAAGCCCAGCTCTCTCAGCCTGCCTTCATATGAGATGTGCTCCCTGCTCACCTTCCTGGCCCTCCTCCAGAGTCACCCCAGCAGGTCCACACACTTCCCGTGGTGGGTGCCTGAGAGCTGGACGCAGTGCTCCAGGTGGGGCCTCCCTTTTTAGTTTCATTCAAGACACACTCTAAATATAACAATGTAGTAACAATATTAGTGGCAGCTAAGTATTTTAATTTGCCCTATTATTGAAAAATGAAATTAGTATGGTAAAACTTCAACATCAGAAGTCAGGGCTGTGGTAACTTTAAAAAAGTTTTGCAGTAAATTTTCTCTTTTTTTTTCTTAGTTTAATATTTTACTCTATTAACCCACCTTTTTAATATTAGAATTTAATTATATTCTTCAACTGGGAGGAAATCTCATTTTACAGAATTATAATTTTTTTCATGTAGAAGAATGAATTTTCTTCAAAGACAAATTTGAATTTACACTCTCACTCTGAGCATTCAGGCTGCCTGCTTTAAAACTGATAATTGACATAACAAACTCCACTGAAATGATGCTTGGTATCTGCCTATGTGAACTCTCCCTTATAACTCCTTGGTATGATTTTATTAAGAACCCTTCCACAGCTGGTAACAACTGGGTGTGTCACCCCTAAAGAGCTGGGTGAGGAAGTGCTTAACATTTTTAAATAGTAACCAGGCTGACAACTGAGAGTCACTAAGCTTGTATTACATTCTTACTTTGACAGAACCAAAAAAGAATCAAATGAAGTATTAAGACAATCTTGCATTAGTATAAATAAATTTTAAAACCCTTCACTAACTGCTGTGTTGTAAAACAACATCACCAATTAGAAATTATAAAACACTACACTGAGAAACAAAAATCAAATATACCAAAAGAACTGAAGAGAGACACAAATGCATTTACACAAATAACTGGCCACTGAACAAGATGATATGCACATGACTTCCAGACAGGGTATGTGAGGAGTAAGTCCATCTGGATGATCCTTCTTGGAACACATGACATATTGCTCTACTGTACCACTGAGCAATAACTTCTGCAGATTTACAGAAAGACTGAACTATAAATCTCAGACATTAATCCACACTCCCATTTTCACTGGCAGAAAAGAAATCATCCATGCCAGCACCATTTTTCCACACCACCCAACTACTAATCTTGCTGATCTGGCAAAGCATAAAGTTTGCAAGGGTTGGAGCAGCAACCAGTAATTTTAGCCAGTCTTTTTCATACAAACTTCTAAACAATAAAATTTTAAGGAGCTTTTTCTTTACAAAAAGGATAATCACATAATCACTTGGAACTGAAAGTCTGGGTATGTAAGAGGATTCTTGCTCCTCTTGTCCCAGATTACTTCTAGTAATTATAGAGGAGGGTTTCACATCATGCCTGTGCATCATCTCAGTTAGAAGAGAAAACAAAACACAAGTGAAAGTTGTAGCCTCCTCACCAGATAAAAAGATTATTTTCTCAGAACAGATTCCGTTCACGAGGAACTGAGGGTCTTGACCTTACCTCAGGTGACTCAAGAACACCGTACCACACAACAGAGTTTGGAAACTCTGAATGGCTTTGTGGCACTGTTCATCAGACAGCTGTCAGCAAAGGTACAGCAAAAGGCAGCAAGCACACTCAGAAATAAAGTACAAGGAGAAAATAACTCTTCCCATTGGGAAGGGAGCCTGCCCAGGTGGGACGGGATGGCAGCCTGAGATGGCAACAGCCTGAGGGAATATGACTTCCCACAAGGCAAAAAGGAGATACCACAGGTAACTGCCAGGCAGCAGAGACATGGAGCACCACTGCACAAAGCTCATCCATTTCAAAAGGGAAGTGCTCCTCCTGAGGACCTGCCTAGCTCCTGAGGTGACAGATCAATCGAACAAGTGTAACAGGGACAGAGATGCAACCTCCCAGACAATGGGAAAGACTGGTTTTGCTCTTACATAAGGATGCCAACTCTCGTGTCCTCCTTAGCAGCAGAGGCAGACCCACCCTTTTAATGGTACCTTCCTCTGACCAGTTTTCGACATCCAAGGCAAATCAAACACCTTGTCATACCTGACACTAGATGCATGTCTTACCAGCACGCTGTTCTCTGCCTGTTAAGCTGACTTTTCTAAGCAACAGTTTATTTAATCTGTTTTGGGTAGATAAAAAAACCTGTGCTAACAGTGGTGCAACAGCAGAACACAGCAGTCCTCTTGTGGTGTCAAAACACACACTGCTTCAGGCACACATTAATGTTATCCCACACAGCATATCACCACTGCTTTAAGATGCAGGCAAATAGCCTCAGGTGATAGCAGCAAAACGAATTTGCTTTGGAATGTTAGAAATCCAAAAGTTAAATGCAATCTTTTGAATAAGTCAGCAAATGAAAAGTTTTACTTCTTGGGGACAAGAAATTATTTACTTCTAATTATGAAACTAGATTAACAGAGGATAAGACAAAAGCAAGACATGAAATAGGACTCCTTTTCTGAGGCCTGGCATCCTACAGGTTTTGAAGACATTTGTAATTCATCTTGAATGTATGAAACTACTTATTTCTATTAAATAATAAAAGGACACATCAGATAAAATTCCTGATCAGACAGCATTTCTCTCCTGACACACATATAAATCTCTCTGAAAATCCTCTGAAGAATAGCTTGCCCTCTGGGTAATAAAATTATTTCTGTAATTAACTTTTCAATGGAGAGAGTTATCTTCATGTAACTTATTTCCTTTATTTCTTGGAATAAAACTTTCCTCCCATCCCTTTCCAACCTCCTAAATACATCAAAAGTGCTAGTATATTTAGGACACCACTTTACAGCATGCTCACATACAGAAGTTTTGAATTACTCTGGAAGCATTTAATACACACTGTGGGACTGTCACATGATATATAATGTGTGGAGAAGCAAACTCATACTGAAACAAATTACAAGAACATGGCTGTATGGCTGGCAGCTCTTTTGACTCTAACCCAGACCTCCCACACTGCTGTCCATAAGAAGTACTCAATAGTTAAATCTGCTTTTTTGAAAAACACTAATTAAAGCATTGCTGAGAAGGTATGATGTAAAACCACTGTTGTCTCGTGACAACTTCAAATTCCAGCCTTACTCTCTGCTCACGGAGCCGGGAAGGGAACTGGCGGTGCTGCAAGGACCCAAAAAAGCCTGGCTTACAGACCCACTGGATGGATTTCACGGCTGACCTCTCCCGGGCACCGCGGTTCCACGTTGGGACGAGTTGGACAACATACCTTGCACAAGAGCTCGCTATCTCGGCCTCCCCGCGCTCCCAGCCTGTCGCTACTGACGCTGCTGAACGCCAGCTCCCAACTGCCTCCAACCCTTCCCAGCCATTCCCCGGGAGCAAACCTCCACCAAAACAACTTTTGCTAGGGCTTTGTGAGTAATTTAAGCACGGCAGAGGTTACCAACCCTCCGGCTTTTGGCGTGACGTAGGGACCGGCAGGGAGAATGCCAATGTCCTGGAAGTGTGCCAAGTCCCTAAACAGCAGATTAGTGAGAAATTACATTTTGGGTATGAGTCAAAGACTGAAAACACATTGCCATCTCATAAATCAGACCTCAAAACAGCATGAACTTTCATTCTGAAACCAGGCAGAGAGAATGTCAACAGGCTACCACTCAACCCACCTACGAGAGATTTCTTTCTAATTAAAGCAGCTACATATCATTTCACAGTATTTTTTTCCTTGTATTTGCAGAAGGATTACTGCCTGTTCCTCTTTGATAAAACTGGTAATTTAAGACAGGAATCAATCCTTCACATTTAACTTGACAGGTTTCCAGCAAAACCCACTGAAGATTTCATTTTTTTTGGAGACAATAAATTCACCCTTTTGTCCCAATATAATATAAACAGTTAACACTGTAACAAATCATGTGCCCTAGGATGATTTTTGCCTCAACTCATTTATCTTAAAACACCTGTCTTAACAGTAAAGTTTCACTTTAGTCTCTCAGAAACTAGTAATAAATTCTTATTAGGAGACAGAGCAGTCTTGAAATATGAAAATCCACGAAATATATTTTAGAACCAAGCCACTTCTATTTCACAGGAAAACTCTCATCTCCATAAACATGCCATTCAGTACTTGATTTCTACTCATACATACACATACATCTCTTGACAGGGGATGTAACACTCAGAGACAGACATTTGATTAATACTTGACTGTCAAGACCAGCAGTCCTTCAGGAACACTATACCTAAGCCTCAAAACCATTTGGATAAGTATAAGTACCACCTCAGCCTTTCAGATTTATATCAGTGATCACAAATCATAAAGAAAAGTGATGCTTTTGATATCATTTAACAATTTTGCTCCAAGTCTAAAATAAGCTGAACAGTTTCCATCTCAGATTAAATGCTGTAAATATTCATTAACAATTAGTTTGCTTGTAAGGTTACTATTATAATAATACTTCATCTTTTAAATTACATTTCTGCAAGTCTTATCCTCTAGCTTTAACAAGGCTTAAACCCTCACCACAGTATTCAGAACTGCTCATACCAGATTAAAAGAAGAATTTTCCATAGACAAACATTAAAAAAAAAAAAATAGATCGTGAAAGCGCTTAGAGGGAGAAGGGAAAGGAGAAAACAAAACCACAAAACTCACTTGACTGTAACTCGATTGGACAAATCCTGAAGATCTCCTGGGTGAAAAAGCTGAGCTTCTTTCAGTCCAATGTTTCCGCACGCTTTCAGAAAAACATTTATATTATCCTGCAAAGAGAAGTAGAAAGCAGTTGCTCAGTTAAGAGCACTAAGCAGGTTTTGCAAGATGATTAGTACTAGCCTTTAAATGTCAAAGTCCAGCTCACATAAATGAAACTGGAAAAGCAATCTTCTGGATCATAAACGCTGCTCGTTTCTCGTGCACCCAGCAGGCTGGGCTGCGATGGCAGGGACTGAGGGGTATGTTAAAGATTACCTGGCATAAGGCAGCAGTGAGCCAGTAGGCAGCAATCTCCACTTTGATGTCAGCTCTGCTCAGCAAACAAACGCCCTCTTCCTAGCTTTGCACGACAAGCCTCACCTCAATGCCTTTAAAAATAACTCCAGCTACTGACATTCACCACCCAGAAACTCTTGGCAGGGGAGGAAGAAGAGGAGGGACTCTTCGTTTCTGTGCTCACAGACTGATGAGGGAATACTGCACCTGGAGTCTGGGTTTGGTTGCTGAGCAAAGCTCCGGAGAGACAGAAACCAAACTGTATTCAGAGCTGCTGCTGCTGCTGCCTCACTTGGGGGGGGTTTCTTCCCGAGTCCCTCCCCTTCCACTTCCCACACCCCCTCCTCAACTTCACACCGATCTGTCACAAAATAGAGGAGCAGCACCCACTCTCTGCACCTGCTGCAGGATGGACTGACCCATGAGAGAAATGTTAAAAAAAGAATAAATCTAATGATATATACAGAGATTATACAACTTGTGATCTCTTTCCACTTCATGAACAGTGGGCAATAGGCAAGAAATTCCTTCTCGTTAAGGCGGAATGCTATCAACAACAAAAGAATGTGCCCTCTTGCGCACTTGCTTCCTTCAGCTGCAAGCCAAAGGAAAAGGTACATGAAGTTACTTAATTCATAAGCTACACACAGCCCTGTCATTAAGAGTTTGTAAGTCAAGGTGCTGATATCAGAATTTCACAGTATAGACAAGCTCTGCTTTAGCAATTTAATATGCTTTAAAATTATTTTTTGACACATAATACAGTTATTCCTTCATTTAAAAATCATTAAAAAAACAATCTACAAAGAAAATGACAGCTGCTTCTAATAAAGAAAGTAAAACAAACCCTAGAATCCCCACAACCTTCTGTTTTGAAGGTCCCTGGGATTCTAGTATTTCTTATCAGTCTGTAGACATGGCTTAATTCAAGGAAAATATTTGAGCAAGGTATTCCCCATGCAGGCTGCGGGCTCTGCGTTACCACATCTGAAAGATCCCAGGTGTCTCATACCGTGAAGGTTATGCCCCAAGGCTGGAAGTGCTGTGCCATGGTGGGGGCTGCTCTGCTGCAGGGGGGTGCAACATGATGGCAAACCTGGGGGACACCATGTGGTGGCAGATGAGAGGAGGAAGCTGGGAAGGATGGAGGACAGGCAGCCTCGCCCATGCCCAGGTCCCTGCAGTGCCCAGGGGGCTGCTGCACATTTGCCCAGGGAAGAGCTTCATGCTGTGAGATGCAGCCTCAGAAGGGGCATTTGCTTTTCCTTTCATGCAATGCCCCTTTTTTCTTTCCATACAATATAGGGAAAATGGTCTAGATGTGCCAACTTTATTCAATTTATATCTGAGTGTCCCCTTAGTACTAAACCAGCAAGGACCTGAAAAGGCATTGTTTCCTCTGCATGGAAGAAGCCACAGGCTACAGTCCCATTGCAAGAAGAGGAACTACTTGCTAAACAACCACCAGGTCAGTGTTCAGGGGACTAGGGAGTCTATGAAACTGGCAAGTAAGGCACAAGAAGAAAGCAGCAGAGCAGAAAGAATGAGTAACTCCAAGGTAATGAACTGACACCAACACTAGTGAAGGCAATATGGTTTGATTGGTCTGCCCAGTCACCACAGCAACTCAGAGCAAACTCCCAAACCAATGAGTTACATCAACCACAGGGCTGAAAATGAGCACATTGTGCAGGTAAACAAGGAAGAAGAGTCAGATTTAGAAAAACAGATGTCGTCTACACCCTGACAGCAACAAAAACAAAGCAGAGGAGTTGCTCACCAGTGGCTGCTTGGCTGCACAACCACCAAACTTCTGGCACATGACATAATTAATTTTGAAGGTGTTTCAGCAATTAAACCTATCAAGCATCAACCTCCCGATAAATAGCACTTACAGCCCCTGAGAACATCCCTGCTGACAGGAGTCAAGACCATCAGGAATAGGGTCGGAAGCAGGAGGAGATAACATGGAAGGCAGAACACCGTTAGTTACAGTGCTCACGTGCAGGATAAAACAGGGTTCCAAATCTTCCTTCCCTCAGCTCCCAAGCCAGAAGTTTGATCATGCCTGCCATCTCACAGGTTACTGCCCCAACACCAGCTGTTCTGCAGCCAGGGCCTGGAAATGACCCTCACAGCATCAACAGATGACACAGCCAATAGACTTTTTATCAGGTTTGGAGATTGACACAAAAAGGTATCATTGAAACAAATCAGCACTCCTAAATACTGTCTTTGCCAGATTATTCTTGACCATCCCTAATCATCATGGTTAATCAGCAAAGCCACAGGTCTTAAAATAGCTAGCAGCCATTTTAAACTCTACCAGAATAATGAATAGGAAGATGAATTTTAAATAGCACTACAGAAATAAGTAGGAAAAAAAGGACAAGTTATCAACCTTGCAATTAAATTTATCATTAGAAATGTGAACGGGAACATTTTTCAGAGATTAATGCACTCAAATATAGAAACCATTACACCATTCTTTTCACCAATGTAACTGTACTTTAACAAGACTAATGGTCATTGCCACTGCAGCTTCAAAGGACATACTGTAATCCGAATCTCATCGCACTTCACAAAAATAGTTCTATTTAAACAACCAGACCTCAAAATCCTGGAAAAGCACAGCACACCAAACCTATCTCCAGGTGACAAAATTCACTGGCAAGATGTCCTCAAGAGAAAAAGGTTCATACTTGCATCCACTACCCTCTTCTTCCACCGTGTTCTCAATCTCTGTAAACATGAGGAGGCCACTTAAATTTAATAAAGAAACAAATTAGCAGAGAAAAAGAATTATGATGCCAAGGGAAGATAAGGGACTTAAGACAAACTGGAGAATTTGATACCAATAAAGTGGATCATGAGAGGCAATACTGGTGCTACCTATCAGCACAAGAGAAGCAAAACCAGAAGGCTGCCCATTTCAAAAGCAAGGATTAATCAGTGGACAGATCAAATACATTTTTGCAGAAAACATAAGGTTCTGACCATTATTAGAGAAAGCTCTTGAACTAACAGGGATGAAATCATCAGTTAATTTTTGTTCATGTTATTAAGAGAACTCAATCACTGCATTTCCCTGAGCATCTGAAGTTGGAATACACATCACAGAATTACAGGTTTTAAATCACAACAAAAATAAAGCCTGAAGTCTAAACCACAAAATTCAAGTGTAATTAATTTCTGGTATGCTATTTCTACTTCTAAGTGTCTTAGTGAGACTGTGGGAAGGGCTAGTTTTTTCCCCCAGTGGTGGGTGTGATGGAACAGCAGAGCATTTCAAATGTTCCTAGCATGGCTTGAGTTTTCCACATGCTGTACAGACTTAGATTAAATGCACAACATAGAACAGTGACTAGACAGAGCTATTACCCTTCAGTATTCCATTTTTGCCTCAAACTTCAAAGTGAACCGCACCCAAAAGTGCTGCGAAGTCATAATATGGGAGAGATGGAGCTGCCAGTGGGAAACAGGTCATCTACAAGCAGGCTTTTAAATACTGCTGTTCAGGGAAAAGGCAAACAATACTGTACACTTGCAGCTCTGTACCTGACTTTCTGGTCCCCATGGGGCACCACTGGACACAAACCCTTCCCTCTCCTGTTGTTAAAGCATTTCCCTCCAACCAATGCTTTGAAGGAGCCAAGATGCCATCTCTACACTGAAAATGAGACTGTGGTCCACACCCTCCTTCCAGCATCTGAGCAGAGCAGAACTGCCTCTCACTGCTGCAACTCCACGGACTTGAGGAGAGGAAAGAGCTGAGTCTTTCCCCACTGGTCCTCAATGCTGCTCCTAGGCCAGGAGCAGGGAGGCTGTGCCAGAGCAGGTGAATGTGAGGGAAAGAGCAGGGCCATTGCTGCAGGGCTCCTCATTGCTATCACCAGCCTCCAGACCACAAAGAAGAAAGAAGCTGATAACTCCATGGGGAAACAAGAATTTGGACACCTTCCTTTAAAAATAACAATTTTAAAGAGCAACTAAAAAAATTAAAATTGAGGCATTGGACCATTGGACCATGGTTCTGTGTTGCACCTGTGATCAGCTCCTAATGTATGTCACGTTGGCAAGAATTTGAAAAGAAAGACAGAGCGCTGGTGAGGTGTTGGTGGTGGGGAAATACAGAGGTTCCTCAACACCTAATAAACCAAAGAAAAAGAGTACTTCTAAACCAGGAAAAAACCCCAAAACAGCATGAGCAACAGGAAAGAAAGAGAAAAGACAAAAGATGCAAAAAAGATCAAGAAGAGGTTGACCTTAAGTAGGGAAAAAACCCCAAAGTCACCTACCTGAGAATGGGCATAGAGTGCGGAGTGTGTAAAACAGAAAAAAAATTTTAAACATCTAAAGTAAAAGCTAATTAAAAGAGGTGTCCCCATAAGAGCATGTAAATACTATCTTATTTTGACTACTTACATGCAACACAACATCACTAAATTCAGCTTGTGCAAGAGAGCTGCAATTTTATTTTTAAAAAATCCCACACTATCATGATTATCTGGGTGGGACAGGAATATTAATTTAAACAAGTGCTTAAATACATTTGCTTTCTTTAGGGTGCAGTCATGCTGTGTGGTAAGCCTGATCGCTCTAGTTAACTGTTTCTCTGAATCCCTATGTATGCGCCAAAACACAGTGAAATCTCGCAGGCATACAAGTTATGGCACATCTTTCAAATCACTTGGCAACAGGGAGAAAAACAATTTAATTAACATGTTGTTTTTTGTTTTTCCTGGATGTATCAGCCAATAAAAGACAGTGC